ACCTCAGTGAAGTCCGCTCCCTTCTCTGGGCCTCCGAAAAGGTGGCTACTGCACACAGTGGGCACCAGAGTTCTGTGATCATGTCAACAAGTTGGTCCTTCTCGACCTCAGTCAATTCACGGTCTTACACCAACAACATTTACAGGGAGAGACTTTATGTTCCAGAGCTTGGCTCAGGTAATCACCCCAAATTAAAAGCTCTACACTCTTCCTAGTGACACACCTGTGTTGGAATACTGGAAGTCTTCTGCACAAATACACACTGCACTGGTAACTTTCTTGGGCGACCCCTCTCCCCAATCCTTACCACTAACATAGGCTCAACCCAGACGTTCCCTCAGCCTTGGTTTGTACCTGAGGACACTGACACTACTTTGCAACCCACCGTTCCTTCAGAAAACTGTGATTTCACGTACTTCTGCCAAATCTCAGGTTTCGTTCTGAATTGAAGAGCTTTGAAGCACTTCCTTTTGCAGTAAAGTTGTTTATTTTCAAAAACATGTTTGAGCGGTAGCTTTGCGTTACTAACCCTAAAACTCAACTACAAGCCAGCACTCCAAGGTTCTGGGCTTGGCCCTGGGACTTTCTTACTTTGTGACTTTAGACCAGGTGTGAAATGGCAAGAAAAGGATTTATTTCAGGCTGGAAGTAATTTGAGAGGACCTATAGGGACTGTATGGGGCTTCTTTTACTACAAGACTGGTATCTTTTTTGTGATGTCTCACACACACAAAAAATTTGAAAGCAGAATTCCAGATAGTTTCAAATGTAGCCTTAAGGAAACGGAGGGACTATCTATTTACATATCTGTACGACACTATAAAATATAATTTTATTACAGTTAACAAATGGTTTTGGGCTTTGCCTTTTTCTGGCTCCAGGAAAAAGAGGAGTACTTCACTCATAACCGCAAATAAAGGGTGGGAAGGCACCCAGGCGCTGACAGGGCCTATCCCTGGCCTGCTGGGGACCAGCTACCGAAGCCATGGGAGCGGACTTCCTGTCTGCAGCTATGTCTGGCAATCTGCAATGAGGTTCAATAAAGGCTAGCTCTACTCCCACCCACATGCACGCAGTGTTAATTAGTGACAAGAGGGAGACAGGGTCCCCATCACTCTATGGGGGCAACTGAGATAAGCAAGGAGTATTCTCACTCCTTATCACGGAGGAAAGATGTCCTACTCAGGGGAGACACCCAGCACTCGAGGTTCAGCACGGGAGCTGCCGTCTGTGCAGACTGCAATCACACACATGGCCTGGAAGAAGTCACCCCTTTGTGCCTCAGTTTCATCATCTATAAAATGGGGCTGGAGAGATTAAGAGGAAGGGAGGATACTACTGGACAATCCACAATATCACTCTATACGTAACGAAACTGAGAAAAAATCAGAGATGCTCAGGTTTTTCAAGGCCTGGCAAGCATTTTGCTTAGGCTTACAAAACATACAGAAAACACTGGGCTGCTTCTCTCAGACTGTGTTGTCATGAAAAGGGGTTCACAGTGTATCTTCGAACAATAGAAAATGGAGCTTTCTGATTGTATCAGGCTGACAACCGTAAGCAGTTCACAGCAAGGTAAGGAGGTACATTCTGGCGGAAGCCAGCACTGCATTTGATGTATTCTTAGCTCAGCTAGCAGGCGGGCTTTCAGGCCACGTTATCTGCCCCGCATCTTGACCTAGTTTAACGAGTTGCCATGGGAGCCTAGCGAAGGTTGATGCGATTCCCTTATCTTTGGAGGAAGAATGTAACCGTGCGAGGCAATGTGAAAATTCAGTTTCTAACTGCTTTCCACACTTACAGTGCAGTAGCCAAGACACCATATGAAGAAGTGACATGTCTTCCTTCGGAGGTGACACGGACCCAGACTGAGGCCAGGAAGAGGAATTCTCTCCCTGGCTCGGAGATCTAAGCACACGCCCCTCACTTCATTCGGGCCAACTAACGGGGACGTGCAGGTACGACTGCTCCGACCCTGTGGCCACACGTCCTCTGGAGCAATCAAGCGTTAACAGAACAGACAGAAGGGAGGGAAGAACTTGAGACAGAAAATAGGTGTGACTTTTATGAGCAATAAAAAGTCCTGCCGACACTTGTACAATGATCTCTGCTTTCCAAAGTACTTTCCCAAATTGCAGGTCCTCTTAACCTGTCCGCGTAAAGCCAGACGCCCATTTCTGGGCTCTCTGGTGACTGCCTCGGGTGGTGGTCCAGGCTGCCTGGGTACGACCCAGCCCCTTCCCACTCCCCAGGATGTACCTGAAATGAGAGGGGACCGCAAGGAGGCTGTGGCACTGGGGGAAATGCCACGGAGGACCCGTTCGCGGCGCACGCGGGAGGTTCACCCGGCATGAAGTACAGGAAAGAAGCCCCCATTTGGGCAGCTAACAAGTCCCACCTTTGTTCAGACCACAGCAATAAGAGGACCCGGTTCAAGTCTAAGGACGTTCACGATGCCTTGAATTCGGTAGGAAGCCCTCAAGGGCTGCTGTCTTATCTGCACTCAATATGTGCTCGGATATTTGCTGAAATAATTGAATTGTTATAATTAACAGGCTTTTCTCCCTACTTCTAGCACAACGTCTAGCACCTATTTGTTTATTTAATTGATTTGGTTCAATTACATTTTCACAGATCTCCTACCACCAAGATAAGGATGAACACTTCTACTTTACTAAAAGTAGAAAGGGGTGCAAGGCAAATTTGCCTAAAATCACACAGTGTGTTAGAGGTGGGAGGGAGCGCAGGGGACTTCTGTTTTCTGGGCCATTGTTCTCACCGCCATTTGAGATGGTATGAAAAGTCACGTTGCCAATTATAAAGAAGAAACAACTGAATGGTACAATGCTTCAAAAATGTTTTTTTTTTTTAATTCAAATGACTACTTCAGTCTTTGAGACTTTTAACTGATAATCACCGTCCCTTCTCTTCCATTCACTGAATGTTTTACTCCCTTATCTCATGTCTGAAGAAAGAAAGAAAAAGAGAAAGAAGGAAGGAAGGGAGGGAGGGA